GATGTCTGGATTAACAGCAATCATAAAAAGTTGGCGATGTAATTTCAAGTAGATTCCCAGCTTCTCTGGAAAAGCCTGAAGCTCTGAACATAGTCTCATGGATGAAGCCCCGCTGTCTCTGGAGCCTGGTTCACTACACACTCCTCTGTCTCTGGGGGCACACTACAGTTAGGTGGGCCTAGTGCTATGAGCTGTGGTATTCTATTTGCAAACCTCCATCTTTAAATAGCGACTGCTTCATTTTTGTGGTTGCCTGCTATTCTAATGTAATATTGAGCTTATCTCCCATTTTCAGAGGTATTTAAGGTGGTTTCTACATGCATCACCCCCCATCTTCAGTGAAGCAGTTTTACAGACATCATTGTGAACATGTCCAATTACCACAGTAGACCTTATAATACATTCTTTTCGTACATGTTATTGTTTGACTTACTGTGGTATTATCTTCCCTTCTTCTGTAGCAATAGTGTTTAGCTGGATACACATGGGTCCCAGCCTCTTGGCTTGGTGAGGCCATGTAATTAAGCCCTGGCTAATGAGAATGAGACTGCTTAATGGAGGAAGACTGGTGAACAACTAACCTGCAATATGTAGCCAACACAACCTTGATTGTTAAAAGTGAAGAGGACTGATGAAGACCAAGATTCTAGCATTTGGTGTGGATCACACCACAACACAAAGAAAAAAAAAATCCTAACCACCAGGTCAAGGATGTAATTTTACTTGAATCTAAAATTGATGCCCATTGGGTAAATCTGCTGTGAGACCTTTTTAAAGCACCGAAGAGCAAAGATGTCCCTCTGACCACTGAAGGAGTGCCCGATCCAATTTATGGTATTTCCAGTAGCCTTATCTGCAGGTGGAAGTTGGACAATGAATGATGATCTAATAATTGGTACATGTCTAAGAATACTGAATATAACATGGAGAACGAACAAATGTGTGTTAGGAGTACAGCTAGCTATGGCCCCTTTAAGAAAGGATGGTGAGACTACATCCTTTGTATTTTGAACCAGTCCCTGAGAAGGACATCTGCAAAGATGGATTGACATTGGCTGCAATTATGGGCTTAAACAAAACAATGATGTGAGGAGGGCAGTTGCACCCAGGGTCATCATAAGTTGGAACAGACTGAACGGGGCGCTTAGCAATACAACAATGAGGAACAGCGGTGACTTGCACCATCTTCTGGAAACACTCCTTCCTCAATGGATAGCTGGGCAGTTCTTTTCCCATTCTAACTCTTGGTGTCTAGCTCCTTCCCAGACCACAGTCACATGCAATCCTTGGCTATACCCAAGGGATGGCAGAGAAAAAGCTGGAAGCCATGAGTCCCTGATGTTTTGTTTCATGACCGGGTTGCTCATTTTTGTATGTATTTATGAGGGAGAAGTAAGCTTCTAGGTTAACCTGTTGTTTCTGAGCTTGCTATTGTTCATAGACAAATTGATTCTTATTAATACAGGGACGTTTACCAATTTTTTAGAGTGCTATTACTCGTTACATCCTAAGAACACATATCAATTATTGTAAATATGTTGCACCTATATTTCCCAGCTTTTCCCTTAACCTTTGTTTACTAGTGTCTTTTGTCAAACAGAAATGAAATATTTCTTGCTGAGTTAGCAGTGACCAAAAACCAGCTAGTGAGAATCCCCTATGTCTATCTGGTAGTCAGGGTGGTCTTGAAAACCCTATCTGGTTAGCTCACTCCTCACAGTAAGTCAAAGAGCTCTGTCGTAGCTGCTCATTATACTTGGATTGAAACCCCAACGTGGGCCTTGACCAGTCTACTTGGCTTTGCCCAAGTTCACCACCTCAACACTATCTTGGCCTCCTGTTTGTTTCATACAGATCACATAGGCTTCTGTCCATCGAGTACTTTGTCATGATGCTGTACTCACTACTGATGTGCCTCTCAGGGATGCTTCCCTGGGTCTCTGGATCTGAAGCAGGCACCTGTATTTGCTTCAAGGTGCTAACTGAACAAAAGACTCCTGCCACCAGACTGTCTCTTCTGCCCTCAACAGTCCTGGCTATGCTGGCTATTCAACAATGAACAGGTGAATGACTATTATTTCTCCACTGATCCTAAATGGTGTACTCAACAAGCATGGAGTTCTCAAAGGTCTGTTCCTCCGCTCTGCTTTGTCTCTTAAATCTATCTGTTCACTTTTCATTTACAGATGTCCGCATGGTTTCTTTAGTGTAGCATGCCAGTAAAAAAGGAGCCTCTTTTCCAAAACCTTGACAAAGCTCAACACTGAGCCACAGAAATATTACGATCAATTCTCAAGAGAAACAAACAAAAATAATCCCTACAGAATTCAAGGTCACATTACAATTCAAGGCTGCTTTGGAGAGAAATGATTACCATGCAATGCCATCTTCTCTTTCAGGGACAAGTTTCCCACTAACCAGATCACTGTCACCTGTCCACATGCATGAGAGAAGTTACTGTTTATCACTACTAGGCCATTGTCAAAGGCGCATTGGAGTACTTCCTCAAAGCCTTTCTTTTGCTTCATGTTAGCGGGGGAATTAATTCTCTATTACACCGATGAGGTTTATGTTCATACAATACATTCACGCCCTGGGGCCTTAAAATATACATTACTATTTGATAACATGTCTTCTCATATACCATACTTATCCTTACAGATCTATTTAGAACTGACTGTGATGGTTCTAAATCAAGAGATTAAATAGCTGACCCTGGATTAGGGAATTAAAACTGCAACAAGTCTAGTCACATGCATATCCCCCCCCCCCAATATATATAAATGATGTAAACTCATGTTACTGATAAATACAGTACTTTAAGTGTACTTTCTCCAACTTACTTTATTGTGAGAGTACAGTGTATAATGAATCCCACTGCCATCGAGCTGATTTTGGCTCACAGCAAATTATAGGGTTTCTGAGACTGTCAATCTTTATGGAAGCAAACAGCCTCATCTTTCTCCCTTGAAGCATCAGGTGGATTTGACTCACTGATCTTGCAGTTAGCAGTCCAATGCTTATCCCACAGCACCACCAGGGTTCCCTAATACATATAACATACAAAACACATGTGAATTGACTTATTTATGTTACTGTTAAGACTGGGTGAACAGTAGGTTAGTAGTGGTGGTTTTGTTGGGGGGAAAAAGTTTTATGTGGACTTTCGGGTATGTCAGGGGTTGGTGCTTCTAAACATCTCCTCATTTAAGGGTCACCTGAATTTTAAGAACTGCTGTTTTTCCAATATCATAGTTTACCTAAAATCAAAGCATAATTTCCCATATGTTCAAGATTCTTTATGCCCTTCAGTGGCATAAAGTTTTATAGCTTTCTTCCCATGTTTAGATATTTCTTGTTAAAATTCCATTTTAGGTTATTTTATGATGTGTATTGTTACTGTGGGTCTCGTCTCTTGGTAGCACAAATGGTTAAATGCTCTACAGCTCACCAAGAGGTTTGAGTCATCTAGAGGTACCTTGGAAGAAAGCCCTGGTAATCGACCTCTGAAAATCCAGCCATGAAAATCTTCTGTAGCCCATGAGTCTCCCTTCACACATGAGGTCACCATGAGTTAAGAGTCTAACTTGGTGGCCACTGGGTGATGGGCACGCTGTACATGTATTTTGTTTCCTCCCATCCTCTCATTACTTCCCACAGTTTTCCAGTGAATTAGTCTATCTTTTCTTTTAATCTTAAGATAGTAAATTTGACTTTCTTCTTTACATCTAAAAATGTATAAAGCACTATCAGACACATAGTAGGTCCCCAGTAAACATCAGCCATTACTTTCTCTGAGGTTTTGCTTCTTTATCTTAGTCTTTTAGGTTAATTTCATTAACTAGCAGTTCCCAAAGCAAACCAGTCTCATCACTGACTTTACTGGGTAGGTTCCCATATATTTTCATTACTAAACATATACTAGTAGCTATCCTGAGGGAGTCCTGGCAACACTGTTGGGTAAACTTCGGACTGCTATTTGCAAGGTTGGCTGCGCTGCTGGGGAACGATGAGGCTGTCTGCTCTCATAATGATTTACAGCTTTGGAAACCCTACCAGTATCCCTAAGAGTCGAAATTGACTATAGCAGTAGGTAACTACATAGAAGTGATTAAAAAAAAAATTATTTTAAGGGAGCATCCTTCTAATACTTTTTAAATGCCAAAATTATGCCTGGATATTTGGTTTTATTGAAATGCCCTTTTTACTCTCTGGAAAAATAACCTATAATAGAAATTTTTTTGAGACTTGTTTGGAGGTTCTACAGGGGAGCGCAGCTACTTGTATACCCTTGACTGAAGGTCGTCCTTTTCAAATGAGCATGCAGCTTCGGGAGGAACACGCATGGAGAGGGGAGAGAGAAAGGGGACATCCGCCTAGCCAGCAAGATCACCTGAAATCAACCCTGGCGATCAACGGAGTGACAGATGTCATAGGCAGATCGCCCTCACATCGGAATTTTTAAAAAATCACTTTATTGGGGGCTCTTTACAGCTCTTCTAACAATCCATCCATTCATGTGTTAAGCACATCTGTACATATGTTGCCATCATCATTTTCAAAACATTATCTTTCTACTTTAGCCCTATATAACAGAATTTTAAACATTTAACCAGCCTTGAAATTTCAGAAAAAATTCACCCAGTCATGGTTTCTGAGTGCTAGGATTTTCCTTAAGAATTTTGAAGGATATACCTGCTCAGTCCACTGCTGAGTCGGTTCTGAATCAAAGCAACGTTATGAGACATGGTAGAACTGCCCCTGTTGAATTTATGCCTTTATACAAATACATTCAAAATTCCCCCCACTTTTCTATGCTTTGAAATCTTTCACATGGCACAGAACATTCTTATTATCTGAAAGATAAAGAACTTGTCTTCAATAAATACCACTTGAGCATACCGCTTTCTGAAAAGTAGCTTTCTTATTATTTCCTAATCAGTTACATGGACATCATCACCTTTCCATCACTCACTTATTGCCCCCCATCCCGCACTCACAGTGGGGTCCGTCCAGAGGGAGCATCGGGAACACTCCTGGCATGGGGCTCCCGGGGAGCGTGGGTGCTGGCAGAAGTGGTCATAGCCGTTGATAGACACGCGGCAGAGGTAGCACATTTGCGCACCGCAGCGGCAAGACATGCGGTTGCAGCCTTCAGATTTGATGAGGCCAGTCCCACACTTGTGGCACTTCCGAATTCGGGCAGCAGTCATTTTTTCTTCACTGAAAACAAAGCACAAAAAAACCACGACTGTAGATGGCAGGAAAGACAAATATTATTATGGGCATTGCACGGTCATTTCTTTCCCCATCTAAAAACTGTGCAGCACCCCCTACCCCACGGTGATATTCAAGTGTGAAAAGCAGCTATGTTTTGGCAGTGGTGAACCAGGCCCAAGGCTTATCAGTTGTACGCCTTGGGGAAATGACACAACTGCTTGTGGTTCCCCACTTGGAAAATGTCTGATTCATTTGTTAAGAGTCCCCATAGGCTTACAGCAGAGAAGAAAGAAAAAAAACAAGGGTCTTCCTACAGAATGTGATATACACAGAGCTGGATAACTGGGAGTCAGGAAGCCAAAGCCTTCACTACATGCCTGTCTCAGTTTTTTAGTGCTATTTCAATAGTGAAATAACATTGGTGACTTACCAACTACTTCCCCCACAAGTTAGGGGCTAGAAGTCCAATTTCAGGGCACCAACTCTAGGGGAAGGCTTTCTTTCTCTGTTGGCTCTGGAGGAAGGTCCTGATCTTTCTGAGCTTTATCAAATGGCTTGGCCTGTCCCTCATCTCTGCTTCTCTTGTTTGTTTAATCTCTTTATAAATCAAAAGAGACTACTACACTTGTCTCATTAACAGGGCAAAGACAACCCATTTCCAAATGAGAATGAACTATAGGTTCATTCAACTATAGGTTAAGATTTGCAATACATGTTTTATGTTAAGTGGGGTTCAACCCATCACTCTACCCTTTGACTCCTCAAAATTCTTATCCTGATACCTGCAAAACACACTCACCCCAAAGGTCTTAAGGCAACTTCCAGTCTGAAATCTTATCTTTTGAACCATCTATATCAAATACAGGTAAAGCTCCAGACATATTCCACCCTGGAGCAAAATTGCCCTTCACTGGTGTGAACTTGTGCAATCTAGATGATAAACTTTTGCTTCCAAAGTACAATGGTGAACAGGCACAATGTGGAACATTTCTGTTAAAAATGTGAGAATCTGGAAGGAAATAAGGGATAAAAGGCACAAAGCAAGTGCAAAACCCATCAGAACAATGTTCACTAGCTCTCAAGAGACCATCTAAGCAATGGCCTAACCTTCCAGACTCTGAGTGCTGGTTACATGCTCTGGATTTTGGGTGTAACCCCCTTGGCCTTGGGTTGTCAGCTCTGCCTTCAAAGCCCATTGGACAAACACGCTCCCTCAGCTTAGGGCAGTCCCATTCTCCAGAACCTCGGAGGCTATGGTCCAATGCTTTAAGATTCAGGCGACTGTGGCCCCACCCTTTGAAACTGATGAGGTCCTACTTTTCTGCTCCTACCAATGGCTTTGTTGGTCTCCAAACTGCTCCAGGAACGGTCCTTTTCTTTTTTCAGAGAACAAACGTAGCTTCTTTGGCCTGTTCCTGCCTGTAGAATTCTAAGGAAAAAAACCCCAAACTCTCTGCTTTTTCCCTTCGGTTTTAACCTGATGGGTTTTCTGTTGCTGTAATTGGCTAATTCCATCAGTCACAGCCTTAATCCTATAACAAGATTGTGTAGCCAACTTCCACGATGAAAATTCTATGACACATGTCCATAAAATTTTCTTATTTTAAAAAACTTTTGCACAATTCATTTTAAGCCTATCTCGTCCCTCTCACATTTACTGTGAGCAGCAAGGAGCAATCATATGGCCTCTTTAAGTAATATCTTGTTTAGAAATCTCAGCTTGCTATGGGTCTATCTTCCACCAAACACTTACAACTTATTCAAATTCTTTGTCATTGTATAAATAGCACTGTCCTTCCTCCATTGTCCAATTACACTTCCAGTATTTCTCTTTAAAACCTCACCAGAAACAAAACATAACAAAGCCACCTTCCCAGAGGAGCATTTCTAGAAACATTTCTATTGCTGGTGCTGTATGTGTTCTCTAGGATGAAGGAGAATTTCTCCACAGCTTTTCTCACTCTCCTCTTAGCCCTTACTAGAATTGTCTTTGACCTTCAAAATTCTACAAACAGTTTAAGGCTTTCCATTATTTAACATGGCTCTTCTAGCCACAGCCTTTGTTACTCCCACCAAATGACCTTTGCTTTCCTCATGGGTCTGTTAAGAATGTGGGAGAAAATACTGATTAGGCTATATGATTAACCTGTGATTGTTAACAGAGCTAATTGTGATCGCTATCCTTTGGGGTACAAAAATCAGCTGGTAGAGGAATGGAGGGAGGATCTTCGTACCACCACAAAGAGGAGCAAGGAGTGGAGTGTGCACTTTGGACCCCAAGTCCCAAAGCAGTTAATTTCCTTAATCCAAGAGACAGTTTTGATAGGAGAGGAGTGGCAGCAGAAGAGCCAGGAGTCAGTGCATGATACAGAGTGAACTTCCTAGCCTACAGAGCAAGTAGAGCTGAGTGTTTTTGGACAGGAGATTGGGCTTGTGGGGTGGGGTGGGGTGCATCAGGGCACTTAACTGGGGGAGCTGGGTTTTCTGGCTGAATACCTTCAGGTTGAGCCTTAGAGTAGAGTGGCATGCCCTTTGTATATTTATTGGCAGCCCTAAAAAAGCTTTTTAACATTGCCTGAGCAGGGCAAAAAAGACATGATGAGAGGCTAAGGAGTAGAAAGAGGCTTGCCTGTAGGTATGGCAGAGACTATCTGACAGAACCATATCCTCAACATTTCTCACCAGAATTGTAACCTGTTAACTTCCCTAAAAATGCCCATAATTCACGGCAATTGCCACATAGAGTTCACAAACAGTAGTGGGCACAGCAGTGAATTATTGAACTTAGTCACAGAAGTAGAGTGCCAAGGGAGGGATAGCTGGTGTCAGAATAGGGTTAAGAAAAATGGAGGGTAGAGGTACCCTGTCTTAAAGTAATCAGCTTTGGGAGCTGGAGGAGACCATATTCAGTTCCAGCATAATTTCCTCAGTTGATGTCAGAAGTTTCCTCAGTCTCTTCAAGGAAATCTAATCTAGACTTTACTAAGTAAGTGCCTTAAAGCTCTTCCAACATCTACCCATTACCCAATTCCCAAACAGCTTCCACATTTTAGCTGTCTGTGGAGTACCACTTGTGTGTGTGTGTCTCCACGTCTCAGTGCCAAATTCCATCTAGCTACCTAAAGCCTACAACAACCATGTTCCATTAGCATAAAAAACGATGGCAAAAACTCACTCCCCCTAAAAGCAGCAAAAACCAAGCAAACCCTTTTGCCACCATGTCTTTCATATTGATCGACCCTGTAGGACAGAGTAGAATCGCACCATTGGGTTTCCAAGGCTATACATCTTTTCAGAAGCATCTTTCTCCCTTAAGAGTGGCTGGTGGGTTCCGACTGCTGACTTTTTGGCTAACAGCCCAATGCCTAACCCACTGCACCACCGAGCTCCTTAACAAAAACAATCCAATCCAAATGGGATTATAATCACATGCATGGAAGTTGGGATTCAATAATACATATATTTTCGGGGAGCACAGTTGAATCCTTAACACCCCAGGTTTTGAATACTTGGCAAGGAGGTGGTGTAGACAGGGTTGGGGGCAGCCCAATAACCAGTCTCTGTCTTCTTCCTGGCTGGCAGGGCTCACCTCCCATGACAGAAGTTGATGATGTCAGATTCTCACATTCCCAGACTCCCTGCCACCACAAATGGGCACGCTTACAACTCAGTCCTGGCCAGAGAGAGAAGCCTGCAGAGGCTGCTTGATTCCAAAAACATTCTTACACATATGGAGGGGAAATGACTAAAGAGCTAAGATGGTAAGTTCTGGCTCTTTGTCAGGAGTGGGTATGGCTGAATTAGCCACTCCAATGGTGCCTGGGTCCAAACTCCAAATACTGGCTCTACACCACACGACCTACTGTTGTTGTTCATTGTTTGTGTCTGCCGACCTCCACTGGGCTGAGCTCCCAGAAGATGGAGGGGGGCCAAGCCTACGGTGCTGCACACTTGGCACGGTCCTGACAAGAGTGAGGCAAGAAACTAGCCCTAAAACTTCATCTCGTCGAATTGGTTCTGAACACTTCTCATTCCACCAGCTAGGAACCGTCCAGAAGTGGGTCATGGTCTGGGGGAAAGTTCTTATCTGCAGACTCTCATGAGGGCAAGAAAATGCAACCTTTTCTTCCCCCTACTCTGTTTCAGTGAGCAGTGAGCTGAGTCTGGAGGCAAGCCAGTGTTTGACATTATTGATAGAAGGCTATGCTAGTATATTCCTTAGAAGCCAGTTCATGTGTATAAAAATAGTAAAAATGTATTCAGAAATTGGCTGCTATTCACATGAGTCTCATTTGTGAATGGCCCCAAATGAAAGAAGGCAGATCCCTGGCTGTGAAAGAGTCTAAAGACTAGTTCAAGTTACAGAAGAATAAATGAGTTCTCAGTTTTGCTGAGTAGGAAACATAATCAAGGAGACAAGAGTTTAAATACAGCTAAATCTATTACTGCCAACTTAATAATATACTAAACATTCACAATTTTAAAATACTGAGCAACTGTGGAGACACTTTTCAATGCTTCAAGATATGACTCAAAGTTTTGAAGACAAACTTTCCAATTTGAAAGTTGATGCCCAAAACACGATGCAAGTTTTACTTGGGCACAAGTATGTTCTCTAAGAGTGCTGAGACTGTTGTGGCCTGGAAAGGGCCGACTTCTTTCCTGGACAGGCTCCTTGAGCTTCAGTGAGAAAGAAGTGGCTAGAAAGAGTCCTGGTTAAGCAGTGCTTTCCAGAAGGCTCAGAAAGCAAGGTGTCTTTTGCCTGCTTTGTTCTAATCAACTGGCTGTCACTCACGAGAAATAGTCATAGGTGGAAGGGGGGGGGGCAAGGGAGAGTAGGTATTCTTCAAGGGGACAGAGGAGAAGGCCTTTGCACTCAAACCCACAGTACTAGGTGGGACCATGAAGACCCTACACCTAATCTCAACAGACCCATACCAAAAGGGATTGCCGTTAGCATTCAGTGACCTCTCGATCCAGTATAAGCAGTCTGTGGGTTCTGT